TGGCGGCGGGCAGAAACGCCTGATAGGGGGCGGACGCGGGCGAACGGGCGGGCACAGTCGCTAGCGGCGCGCGGAGGAACGGGAAAAATTCGTACGCGAAACGCGCCGCGTCCGAGCACGCCCGCCTATTCCCGTACGCCAAAAACGTCTGCGATTGTTTCCCCCGCCCCGCGCGCCCGCGTCGTCACCGGTCAACGCGCTCCGCTACCCCTCCCCAGCGGTGCGACAAGTGCACCGGTACGACGCGACAACGCGTACGCGTACGCGCGGTACGCTCGCACCCGCTCGCCCGCGAACTGCACACGTTACACGGGGACAGTACTGTGTGCACACCGGCGCGCCGCCGCGCCGAATCAATAATGTAACGTTTGGCCCGCCCCCCCGTCCGCCCGCACTAGCCCGCCCATCCGTCCACCCGCCGCGTATCGCCGACGACGACGCGACACACACCGGCCGCGGCTCACCGTAACCGCCACACCTCGGCGTACGTTACCGCGGTGGCGGTGGTGCTCTCGCCGACGGTCAACGCGCGCCACTCGCACACGAGTGTTCGGATATTTCGAATTTCAAATTTCGTGCCCCGCCGCCGAACCCGCTGACGAACGGGGCGTGTGTGTGCGGGGGAGGATGAACAGGCGCGTGCGCGTGACCGAAATGTCCGTTCGCGTACCATACCCCCGACTCGGGGGTAGCACGGACGTGGTGCGTGCGGTTTTCGGTTTTCGAAATTCGACCGCGACCGTGGGTACGGTTCGGTTCCTGGGAAAAAAACGATACGGCCCGAGCCGCTGATCGAGCCTACGCGGCACCAGTGGCGTCCATCTGACCGGCGGAGTTGGGCCCCAAACAATATTTACGATAAAGATCAACAACCAAGTGGGCCCGATTATGAAAACGATAATTCATTGAAATAACTGACTTGGTGAACATTTCATTTCGTAACATTTTTATAATCACCTTTGCGACTTTTCAATCGCATCTAAACGACGTTTTCGAAAAAAATTCAAGTGTACGTGGATATTTCAGTTTTTTATAAATAGCTCAAAAACATCATTTGAAATTTAAGCCTTCTATAACCATCAGTTATGTAAGCATTCAGTGAACTTTTTGTGTTTTTACAATTATTGTTTTTTGAGTTACGATAAAAACAACAATTTGATTTTGTTGTATTTTTATCATATTTAGTATTTTCCTTTGCATTTATTAAGAAAAATGTGTAAAACATTTTGCAAAAATTTTTATTTCGATTGACCGATTAGTTTCCGATATTTTCTATTTTCTATCAAAAATGATTTATAATTGTGGTAAAATCGTGTGCACAGACAAAAAAAAACACATATTATGACAAAACCAAAACTCTAATCGTTTCACACAAAATCTATAAATTAACTAATTAACTAATAAAGTTACGTAATAATACATTTTCGTTTAGTATAGCTGCAGATTCTTATTTAGTAATCTGAAAACTATATACAAACCAATAAATGTAAAAATTAGGCCAAATTTGTGAATTGTAAATACGCAAATGCATACCTTACAATACCCATTGTGCATGATCGCAAAAGATGTGACAAATAAGAATCTTTATATAACTCATCAACCTTAAATGTATAATATCCTTGTAATAAAAAAATTTATATAACTTTTTTTATAATTCAATTTTTACTGTAATGGTTTTATTTGAAATTTACTGAATTAATTTGATTTGCACAAAAACAAAACTCAAACACAGTGAATATTTTTTTTCCTATTGTTTTTATATTATTATTAATATAATTAAATAACTAACTTATTAAAAAGGTTCGGTGAATTGATATTTTATTAAAAAGTACAATACTTTAACGCGTCGATAAAATCTAATAAAATGTATTTTACTTTCAAAAACGAAAATTATTACAATAATATATATTTAGAATGTCCCAACTGTAAATTAATCCATAATAAAATATTTAAACGTTTATTGGGTTTTGTGGTATAAAATATCTGATAGGAATATTGAAAGTATAAATTTAATCAAATTGTATTTTATATTCCGTATTGCTTACGGTCGTTCGTTTATTTCATTGCAAATATTGAGTACAATACTGAATTCGGGATGATTTCAATTGTTAGCTTTTGCAGTTTCATTCGAAGAAAAAAATAATGTAATTTTCATAAATACACACACTACCCGTGCGCACTCGTAACAGAAAACGAATTAAAATCAAATTAAATCTGTACACTGAAATTGCTATCCAGTGCAAATAATTGCTGTCGTTCTAAATTCAAAGACGGCTAGGGCGAAAGAACCAGTAACTTTTTAACCATAACGTATGTTCCGATTTCTTTCAGACTTAACGTGAACCACAAACAACCTATTGAACGATTTCGGGTTTGTTTTATTGAGTTTTTATTAGTTTTGTTAATCGTTTACCGTTACCTTCAGTGCTGCTCATAGTAGCCGAGATCGGAGAGACAGTACAGCATTCGATGGAGCAAAACCTTTCGCCGTCTATAGACGTAGAGCCCGGGGTACGCTTCGTGAAAATGATTTACCTTTATACTTATTAATATTTATGATATCTCGTTGATTCTATTTTGCTGGTTCATTTACATATTTATTATGTTTATGTTGATTGTTCAAAACAATGAACGTTTATGTTGCGTTGCTCTAACTTTCCAATTCATTATTATATCGGTCGAAACGAATTTTGCAATATTTTTCATCCGAAAAAATTACCTATTGCAGCTTATCGCCATAGACGAAATAAATATTGTTGGAATTTGTGTTTATTTATTATTATCATTATTATTAATACATAATCCGAGATACATCAAAGACTAACAATGTTTTTTAATTATTAATATAATATATACTATATATATTATATATTATAACAATAAATTTTAAATTGTAGTTTTATTTTTTTCAATTCGACAATAATGTTATTTTGTACTTGTAAAAATTCTATATGACTCTTAAAATGATTTATTGGATTATATTTTTATCTCGATGTATCTGACGCACTGTAACAGTTGTACGATAAATTCATGATTTCGTATTTTGAGAACATTTTAGGTAATTTAGATGACTTTTTGATACAGGATCATTTCATTTTAATTTATTGGTTGGGTAGGATATGATGAAATGTGACTATGATATTTAATCATGGGACAAGCAAAATGTGTTTAGTTTTAAACTTTACCTTATAATTAATACTGTCAACGTGTGGACGGGGACGTTTGTCGATGGTCGGAATATCGATAATAGTCAACATATAAGTATCGACGGCTCCAAAAACCGCACGCTTTTGGTAATGAAAACCGCACACTTTTTTAAATTCTTGTAACCAAAAACCGTACATTTTATAATGATATATAATTTATTATTTATTATTTATACTACATATTAATTCAAAATCAATTTATTGAGTTACAATCTATATAGGCATTGAAAAATTTAAAATTTAAAATCGAAAAAAATGTATTAAAATGTTTGTGGCTAAAATTTTTTGCCGACGTTTTTTTAAAAAATTAAAATATAAATAAAAAATAAATAAAAATTGCTCCCATTATTACTATCTTCATCTTTTTTTTCTTAGGGTTTATTGAACCTTTAAGACCATCCCGTCTCACAAATTTTATTGCTGTCAATAGTTTTAAAATCCATTCATAAAAACACTTTTTTTTTTTTATAATATATATATATATATATATATAAACTTTACGTTATATCACGCGTTTCAGTCGAAAAATGTACTGGATATTTTTCGAGCACATCAACGTGCGATGAGATAAGCTTATAAATGTATCAATTAACTTTAAAATTATATATACAACATTCGTCTATACAAAATACGTTATTATTAATACATCATATAGTGAGGTTTTTACCCACTATAAGTGTGCGGTATTTGGCTGTATGATATACTTACCTGGCATTCCATAAAGTGTGGGTTTTTTGGATGCAACCATAATTATGTATATAATTATGCATTATATTATGTTAACGAGCTAAAATATTACCGTGCTGATCGAAATGTTTACTCATTAATATTTACTTGTATATTTTGATAAATACTGTACAGAGAAAGATAGTTATTTTCATTGTTTTCTTATTAAATCGTTATGCCCAATTACCATATGTATTACTCTTTGAGTACCGCGTGAATAGAATATTTGATTTTATATTGTACAATTTAATTCATAAAATTAAATATTTTTCAACGACATACTTTTTTAAAAATATATTAACCTATATTTATAAATGTATCATATAGTATGTAAATGTAAAATTTTTATAAGGGTTGACCAAGAAGTATATGGAACCGACACCCATCTGAAACATAAAAAACAAGTTTTGATTAGGCAAAATATATTTTAGAAGATTTTAATATTTAAGATATGCTTGTATACGGATATGGTATGTAAAACGTAGGATGATGCCTTCTCCTCTTACGCATACATAATAAACTATCGATTCGATATTTGGTCTATATATTTATACATATTCATAAAGGTTCATATATGTTATATTTTTTGATAAACTTTATGTTATAGAACATGCAATCAAAAACTATATTCGGTTGCAAAATTGATATTTACATAGAAATTAATAATATGCTAGTAAAATTTAATAACTAAGTAAACTTATCGCATAAATAATATTTTTTTTTATTTTTTTAGTATTTTAATAAATTATATTACAAAGTTTTACAAAGTTGTTTGAACTATTAAAGAAACTTAAATACACTTTCAGACCAAATATCTGCGTACTGAACTTATATTGATGTGTTCATTGATGCTATAAATAAGTTTCATCAATAAAAAATGTAAAGGTTTATTCTTATTTTTTTATGAGGCACAACCAATATTTTATATATTTATTTCCAACGATGTATTGTGGCTTTTATGAATAATTAACAATCCAGAATCTATGAACTTATTATGATGTATATTATTAAAATAATTCATTTACGT